ATATTTGAGTTTGTGAACGGTACAGATCTGTCTGTGCTATCCCCCACATTAACATACTATGACATAAGTTACTACATGTATGAGCTTCTCAAGGTAAATGGAAAAAATCATTTGGTTGACTATTATTAGGAACCGAAGATTAAATAATTGGTTGTGAAATGGATTTTAATTTGACACTTGCAGTCTAGATGCAAAACGAAAATTTTTGAATCTTGATGAAACTGCAGGCATTAGACTATTGTCATTCCCAGGGAATAATGCATAGAGACGTGAAACCTCAAAATGTTGTGATAGACCATGTGTTTCGAAAGCTTTACCTCATAGACTGGGGGCTTGCTGAATTGTACCACCGAGGAAAGGAATACAATGTTCGCGTGGCTTCAAGGTAACAACTTTGATTTCAAAGACACAAATAAAGGTAACAACTGAGTCGGTTTAAGCTATAATGCCAACTATAGCCATCACTAAAGTATGATTGTTGTTCAGGTATTTTAAGGGTCCTGAACTCTTGGTTAACTTACAAAGCTATGACTATTCTTTAGATTTGTGGAGCCTTGGCTGCATGTTTGCAGGAATGGTAATACAATTCATCTTCCAGCGTGTGTTTCATTTTCATAGCTCGTTGTTCCTCAATAAACATTCCGGCTGCCCTAGGCTTTGTATGAGGACAGAGGAGTAGTACTGTGATCATCAGCAAATGAGCTAAAAGTGCCAAACTACATGATTTTAATGGAAGTCTCTTTATTTAATAAAAAAATAGCTTTAGTTATATCATATCATATTAAAACTTTTGTAGATCTTCCGCAAGGAACCGTTCTTTTACGGACAAAATAATGAAGACCAGCTCGTCAAAATCGCGGAGGTATCTCGATTGATAATTGTGATCATGGTTTTTGCTGTTGGTTGTTGGGTTTTGAAGGGATGGGTGATATTTATTTTATTAGTGTATTCTCACGTGGTATCTAAAAGACTAACAAAGAGATAAATAAATATAACAAAAATAAATCATCCCCTTCAAATCCCTCCTACCAAATTTGCCCTAAGATTTAGCTCATATGATATCTGACGGTCTTAACACCTCCTTCTAAGGTTCTTGGGACAGAGGAATTGAATGCATATTTGCACAAATATCATCTAGAGCTTGATTATCATCTTGTGGCTATGATTGGGAGGTATGAGTTTGTCCTTGTTAACATCAGTGAATGAGTGAAATGACTTAAATGCCAACAGCTGTTAAAAGATTATTATGGAATTCTTCAACTGTAGAATTGTAGTACAACAACAACCCAATGTAATTCCAACAGCTGTCAAGATGCACACTGTCTTGCCTCTCTAAAAATACAAAGAGGAGACTGCTTTCATTAGACCCTTAATGCATTGCTGCGTTTACTACCCAAAACTTCGTTGAGAGTAAGAAGTAAAGGAAGTTTGATGTGTCATTTTGATTCAGTCTATTTTTTACCAGATGCTAAAACATTGGCATTGGACATATTTCTTCACTTGTAGTATTTTCCAAAAAAAAAAAGTTGATGGGGAATTTATATGTAACTTGTTCAGTGAAAGCCGTAAACCGTGGTCTATATTTATGAATGTGGATAATCAAGATCTAGCATCACCCCAGGTAAACATTTTGACCCAGAAACTACAGTATTATCTTCATGTTATACTTGAAGGAGTTGAAGATTATATTTCAAGAATGTTCACAATCACTTGCAGGCCATTGATCTTCTTGACAAACTTCTTCGTTATGATCATCAGGAGAGGCTTACTGCAAAAGAAGCCATGGTAATCCCACCCGCTTAACATATGAATTGCTAATCTCAATGCAACATCTTATAGAGCAAGATCTGCTTTGTTGTTTGTTAATCAACACCAGTTTTGCAACTTTGTATTGTAGGCCCACCCTTACTTCTTGCAACATGGCTTTCCTTCAGTGGCCATGAACTGTTAAGTGGAGAAGCCATTATCTACGAACAGAAGAGACACAAATGGATTCATGGGTGAAGAGATCTATAGCTACTTTTTTTGGTCAACTTCAGACATTTGATTTTTGGTATAAAATGAAGCAAAGTGTAGTATAGGTTTTTCAAAATTGTCCAATGAGTTGGTGTACTCAAAAGTCATACAAACCCTGTTTTTGTACTTCATGTAGCCACGGATGGATTCGGTTTTGTATGCACTTTTGATGTACAAAAAGTTTAATCTTTGTCATATGCTCCGTACTAGAACTTTATGTTTGGTTTGGAAAAGAAAAGAAAACGATTTTCTTTCATTTTCCGAACCAAAATGAGAAGAATTTGATTTTCCCTCTTCTTGGTACATTTTGTTTCCTTGTCTTTTTTTCTTTCTTTTCCTCTCTAAACACACAAGAAAAATTATTTTCCAATTCATTTTCTTTGCAAATTCTTTAAACCAAACATAGCGTAAAAGTTTTAAAATAATAAGCTTGAACTCTAGAAACAATAAGCCCCATCCCAATACTCCGTACTGGTATTTCATTGGTTACAAAAAAAAGAGGTTGCACATTAAAATATTTGATTGAAATTTTTTTAAAATTATTTTATATGAAAAAATGGGCTGGATTAGAAAAATAAAAATTATTATATTTAAAAACTGTATCAAAAGATTTACCAAACTAAATGTGACATGACTATATTATTTTAAAAATTGAGCAACGAAAATAGACCAATAAAGTAAATAAAGTTTGATCATATGAATAGTGAATGAGTAGATAATTTTTTAAGGAAAGAGATTATTTACATGTTAAATTTTGAAAAAAAAAACTAAAGTATATGTAAAATATTAAAAATATACTTAAATAAGAGTTTCATAATTTTATTCTTGAAATAGGAGTTAAAATACATTTACGGTGTCAATAATGTCCATATACATTACAAAAGGTATTGTGAAATACATTTACAGTGTCAATCATGTTTTATACTCTCTCTGTCTCCCAGTTTTTGTCTACTTTCATTTTTGCACACCATCCAATGCACTTCTTTAATCCATTTTATCTTGTAATTTGTATATTAAAAAATTATAGAAATTATATATTAATAATCTATATGTTAAGACAAATCAAACAAGACCACACATGACTATATTGAGGCTTACACATTGAGAGAATTTGATGAATCAAAATGCTTAGATGAACAATTCCAAAAGTCAAAAGTGGACAAAAATTGGGTGACAGGGGGGTATATATATATGGGTGGGGTTCCCATGACATTGGGTTCCAATGTCATGGGATGATCCGGAGGTGCTCCGGTGCCCCGTTCGTAAAATCGACGGTTCCTACCCCCTAACCTCCCACCGGTAAACCCCCCACCCTGCCCCGACCCGAACACACCCCCCAACTCCCTTCAATTGTACCCCACAAGTTGTTTTTGACTTTGGAGTCAAAATTTGACTTCAAAGTCAAAATCAACTTGTGGGGTGCAATTGACGGAGGTAGGGGTGTGTTCGGGTCGGGGCGGGGGGTAGGAACCGTCAATTTTACGAATGGGACACCGGAACACACTTGGGTCATCCCATGACATTGAAACCCAATGTCATGGGAACCTTAATATATATATATATATATATATATATATATATATATATATATATATATATATATATATATATATATATATATATATATATATATAACACAATAAACACAAAGCTAACAGAAAATTGAAGTATGTTGGGCTGCCACAATGTTTGGCCCATAACTCTGGCGATGAGTGTTCGATTTCGGCAGTCTACTGATTTTTGTTTAGCATGTCAGATTCTACTTTTCTCTGCCACTATTTTGTACATAAAACACCATTTTAAAAGCAATTATTAAGTGTTTTAATTTTTAAATTTTATTAAAATTACGTTATCCATAAATTAATCCCTGACAAAGAACTTCTATTCTTGTGGCATGGAGTTTGTTTGTCTTTTGGGGAGGGATGGGTAATTAGACTAATTAGGTAGGTATTTAATAAGGTTGAGTGTGTGGCTGGAAAGTGGCTGGCAATTAGTTTACTTTTGTTGGGTTGTGGTTTAGACCATTTTATAACAAACAAACAATAGCAATAATAATGTCAGTTCCACCAATAATTGGACCCTTTAAATCAAACAATGCAAGGGTAACTCAACATTTGACACAAATGCCAAGACCAATATATACATAGAGGTATTTTAATTTTATCATTAACCTCTTCGATCCTCCATTCAGTTTTGAGCCAAATTAGTACGTGATGTGACTTTACCAAACGTGTGAGAATAATCTAGCATTTTTAGAAACCTTAAATCTCTGTGAATATAGAGGGCCGGTGTCGATTTCGAAAACGCAATGGAACAAAGTACACCGAGAAAAGTAAATGTCGAAAAGTCAAAAACCAGGGACCGAGGCATCACGGTGCATTCAAAAATGGACACCCGTGAAAAAAGTTTTGTTGACGTCCGCACGGGTCAACCTCTCGTAGCATCCGATCATTGATAAATTTTATTTATTTTTAACATATATTTTATATATGTTCTTTTCTATATATTTTTATTTTCTTAAAAGTTCTGATTAAACAAAAGATGTGATGTTAGATTTTATTGAGGAGAAGTTTTTTTGCCACAATGATCAAGGACGCCTCCTACAAAACCTGAGATCAACTCATTTCCAAATGGGGTCATATAAATAGAAAAGTATGGAGGTTTATCAGAGGGTACGATGAATGCGCATCCATGAAGATCAGGACGAATTAACTTTGATACGTTAACGAGATTCCAACGTATGTATTACCAGATTAGATAAAACGAGATGAATACTAAATGTAATATGATTAGTTTATTATTAATATTTTTTAAAATTTAATGTTTTTTTATTAAATGTAATTTTTTTATTTAATAAATTATAATTATTAAAATTTAATTTCATTAATAAAATCTTATTAATTTAATTTTGTAAGATGTGTATTAAAAAATTAGAAAAATAAAAGTTTGAATAGAGAATTCAAAGGCCATATGTTACCGCTTCACTTTCTCTTCATACTCCACACTGAATGACCAATTGAACCCTCCCTCCCTTCCCCCATAAGTTTTTGTCATCACTGTCTCTTTCACACTCTGATATCTTCTCCATATCTCTCATCTTTGGGTAGTCCGAGTAATGAAGATGAAAACCCAGAGGTTGAAACACTGTCAGATCTTCAAGTTTCTAGCAGCTCTTCTTCCCCTGTTTCTGGATCTTTGTCATGTCTCCTCTGCGGCCATGGAGAAAAGAACTTTTATCGTTCACATGGCCAAATCACAAATGCCCTCTGGCTTCAATGACCATTCTGACTGGTATAGTTCCTCCCTTAGATCTGTCTCTGGATCTGGGGAGCTTATCTATGCCTACAAGAATGCAATCCATGGATTCGCAGCCAGAATGACGCCGGAGGAGGCAGAGTCCCTGCAGAATCAGCCGGGTGTTCTGTCGGTGTTGCCGGAGACAAGGTACGAGCTTCACACCACCCGCACGCCGTTGTTTTTGGGTCTTGACAGGAACGCCGAGTTTTTCCCGGATTCAGATGTGGCAAATGATGTCGTCGTCGGAGTGTTGGATACAGGGGTTTGGCCGGAGAGGAAGAGCTTCGACGACTCCGGCCTTGGGCCGGTTCCGAGTTGGTGGAAGGGAGAGTGCGAATCTGGTAAGAATTTCAACGCTTCGAGCTGCAACAGAAAGCTCATCGGCGCCAGGTATTTCTCTAAAGGTTACGAGGCAGCTCAGGGCCCAATTGACGAGTCCAAAGAGTCCAATTCGCCGCGAGATGACGACGGCCACGGCACCCACACCGCGTCCACGGCGGCCGGATCTCTCGTCCCCGACGCCAGCCTTTTGGGTTTCGCCTCCGGATCTGCTCGTGGAATGGCACCACGCGCTCGGGTGGCCGTTTACAAGGTCTGCTGGGTGGGTGGTTGTTTCAGCGCCGACATCTTGGCCGGCCTGGAAAAGGCGATCGAGGACAACGTCAATGTCCTTTCGTTGTCCCTCGGCGGCGGAACGTCGGAGTATCACAGGGATAGCATCGCAATCGGTGCTTTTGCAGCCATGGAGAAGGGAATTCTCGTCTCTTGCTCTGCCGGAAACGCTGGTCCCAACAAATTCACCTCTTCTAATTTGGCACCGTGGATAACCACCGTCGGTGCCGGAACATTGGACCGTGATTTCCCGGCGCACGTCAGCCTTGGCAACGGCAAGAACTATTCCGGCGTTTCACTGTATAAGGGCAAATCTCTGCCTAACCAGAAGCTTCCTTTAGTCTATGCCGGCAACGCCAGTGATTCCATAAACGGAAATCTCTGTTTCATGGGGACTCTGGATCCTAAGAGGGTGAAGGACAAAATTGTACTTTGTGACCGCGGCATAAATGCAAGGGTTGATAAGGGCTTAGAGGTGAAAGCGGCCGGCGGTGCCGGGATGGTGTTGGCAAACACCGCCGCCAATGGCGAAGAGCTGGTGGCCGACGCCCATTTGCTTCCGGCTACGGCGGTGGGGCAAATAGCCGGAGATGAGATTCGGAGGTACATCTTATCGGATTCTAATCCAACGGCCACCATTTCTTTCGAGGGGACAAAAGTGGGAATCAAACCGTCCCCGGTTGTAGCGGCGTTCAGTTCGCGCGGCCCGAACACGATCACGCCGGAAATTCTAAAACCGGACATAATCGCACCCGGAGTCAACATCCTAGCCGGGTGGACCGGCGCCGCGGGTCCGACCGGGTTATTCGTGGACAAACGACGGGTGGAGTTCAACATTATCTCCGGCACGTCGATGTCGTGTCCTCACGTCAGCGGTCTAGCGGCGCTTCTAAAAGGCGCGCATCCGGACTGGAGCCCCGCCGCAATTCGCTCGGCTCTCATGACCACCGCGTACACCGCCTACCCTAACGGCGGCGGCCTGATCGACGTGGCCACAGGAAAGCCAGCCAATCCCTTCGTTTACGGTTCGGGTCACGTCGACCCGGTGGCGGCGCTCAACCCGGGGCTGGTTTACGACCTGAATGTGGTGGATTACCTGAATTTCCTGTGCGCGTTGGATTACACGCCGGCACAAATCTACACTCTCGCGAGAAGAAACTTCACCTGCGATTCTGGCAAGAAGATGAGCGTCACAGATCTGAATTACCCCTCGTTCGCCGTCTCGTTCCCGTCGCGTGCCGCCGCCGCCGACGGCAACAGTTCAATTTCATCTGTCAAGTACACCAGAACTCTGACGAATGTGGGTGAAGCCGGGACGTACAAAGTCTCGGTCACTGGGGAAGATGGAAATCCGGTTAAAATCAGGATTGAACCGGAGACCTTAAGTTTCAGAGAGATGAACGAGAAGAAATCGTACACGGTCACCTTCAGCGCCCCGGCGATGGCATCTCCACCGGAGAGGGACTTTTTCGCAAGAATCGATTGGTCGGACGGGAAGCACACGGTGGGAAGTCCGGTGGCCATTTCTTGGACGTAGTGGATGATGTGTGGGGGCAATGTGGTGTCATTTTAATTTTTATCAATAAAATTAAATTTCCTCTGGTTCTGTAATTGTGCAATCTTAATTTGATCATTTGTGAATTTAGTCCTAATCAAGAGTACCAAAATCTAAAGCTTCTTCTCAAAAAAGACTGCATGGCTCATTCAATCAAGGGCAAATGTAAGCAGTCAAAAAGTGCTTGCCATCAACCAGCAACTGTCCAAAAACAAATTTGCTGAGGATGTATTAAACTCCTCAACTACTCCACCTTCTTCTTAGACTTTAATGTCCCATGGTGATGTTCTCTTAAATTTAATCATATTCTTTATTACGGAGTACTTTTTTTATCAGAATCGAATGGATGATACAAATAAAAAGAACTTTAAACATAAATACATACACATTATATCATATCAGAACTTACTCCAATCAGATTAGAAAATTCAAATCACCTGAAGAAAACCTAACTCAATTACACCATCTCTTGATAAATGACCCATCACGTGTATCATGAGCTATAGCTCAGGTTGTATTAACATGTTGGATGATTATTGTGTAGCCCTCGTTCTTTCGGGTACGTTTTTTAGCCTGCCTAAACTGCACGGAGAGAATGATTTGATTTGTTATCTTCTCAAAAGAATAGATTAAAACTTTGACCGGATCAATAGTAGATTTATACCCATAAGTGATCATTAAATAAATAATTACTCCCTCTGTCCACCATAGATCTTCCCAGTCACTATTCACAGGGTCAAACTTTACTCACTTTGTTTACTCAATTTTACTAGTCATTTCATAAAATAATATATTCTTGTCACCTCTAGTTTTGTAGAACTTTTCATGTCGTTTATTACTATGTAAATTTTATTTTAAAATTTTACTCCTATAATCAATTAAATTAAATTGAAAATAAAATCGGTCAAGCTTCGTAACGTGTAATGGGAAGATCATACATGGACGGAGGGAGTATTATACTTTATACTAGAACAAAAAAAATCGTTATATTGTCATTGAATACTATACTTGCAAAATTTTGTAGTCAATGCTTATGAAATTTGGCTCCAAAATGTGAAAAATTTGGGTAGAAAAGAAGATGTGGAAATGTTCTTAATCAATTAGCAATGGTCTTGCTCGGCCTTTCACTAGCCCAATATTTTTTTCGAACAATGATGGCCCAATTCTATTTAGAGCCATTCTTAAATAGAGCTTCCACACGATTTCAATATTATGCGAGTAGGAAAGCCCATTCGAAAAGACATTGGGTCTCCAGAGAACTCTCTTGCCAGTCTTGCGTATGAGATTTTTCTTTTTTATTTTAAGAGAATTACTCGTATCATTTTTAATGAGTATTTAGTTCATACCAATATCGTACCAAAGATTTTGAACGATTTGGTATGATCTTCACGTCATACAAATCTCAATATCAAAATCTTAATTTGATATGGTTCAAGATAGTTCGGTATCAGCTTCGACACAAATCGAGATGAATACATACACACCTAGTTTAAACTTTAAAATGTCACATAACCATCTTTTAGAAATTATCAAAAGTATATTTAGATAAACTCAAAAAATGAAAATTTAAATGCAAGAAATATTAATGAAACTTAGTTTAGTATTTCACAAACAAACCAATTAATGATAATAAAATGATACTTCAAATGTGTATTACTTTTATAAAATTCATCTACAAAAAAACTGAAACTCAAATTAAAGAACAATGTACACGTAATAAAATTTGAACCAAATTGCTTATCATTTTTATATACCCTCTAACATAAATTTTTCTATTAAAATTTTTATCTAAAATAAATACTCATGTAGATAGTCAGTATTTGCATATTTTTTCTTATATAAACGTCCATTATAGATTTTATATCTATCATAGAATTTGACTCAACAAATGGGACTATATGGAATTAAACTACTCCTTCCGTCCCGAAAGATTTGTCATACTTGTATTTCCGAGTTAAAATATCAAGTTTTTGCAATTTATTTTATTTATATATTGGTATAAAAATAAAAAATAATATATAAAAAAATTATATGAAAAGTTCTTCGAAATTAGATGTGTGAAACATTTTTTATTTTTTCAAATAACCAATGAAAACGTTGAAATAAACAAAAATCTTTGCGACCGCTAAAAAGCCAAGTGTAACGAATATTTTGGGATGAATAGAGTAGCTAAATCTTTGTCCACATTTAATTAATTTGGACAGACAGGATTTCAGGCTGGGATTAAGCCGCGCCTTACACGTCATCTGCAGAGCTGCCCAGAGCGTGACGCGTGTCCATCACCGCCTCCCCCATTCGCTCCCTGACCAATTCAACCCGGATTATATGGACACAAGTTCGCGCTGATGAATTAATTAAACCTACTAATCCAAGAACAAAAAATACCTGTTTTTTGAATTTCCGGAGAGGAAAAATTAAAACAGAGGATCGGAGATGGAGAAGACAGGCGCCGGCGGCGGAAATGAAGAGAAGGGAGGGAAATTAGAAGGGCTGCCGTTGGAGAGCAGTCCGTACACGCAGTTTCAGGACACCGAGGATTACAAGAAACAGGCCTACGGCGCTCAGGGTCACATCCAACCCAATCCCGGCCGCGGTGCCGCCAGCTCCACCGACGCTCCAACCAGTGTTCCATCTGGCGGCGCCGCCGCTTTCAACCAGGCTCAACCCTCCCGCGACGCCGATGCAAATGATCGCCAGCGGTCGCCATGATCGTTTTTCTGTATTATTAGATGCGCTATTTATTCCCTGAATAAATTCTGTTCCTTGAATTTGATTTCTGTTTTAAAGTTTAAAAATAAACAGAGTACAATTTTCTAGAAACTAGTCTCTCCCTCCATTAATTTCTTTCTCAATTTTTTTTTGGGAATGTCAAAATATTTCTTTCTCGTTTTCTATTTTGGCAAAATAGTTTTAGTGAATGTATCATTATATCTTTATTTTTCTCTACACTAAAATCTTAACTTTTTAAATTTTTCTTAATCTCCAATTCTATAATTGGTACAAATGTGGGTAGGCGTTTTGAAGTTGAGGGTATGTGCAAATTGATTATTTGCACGCTTTATTTTTTGGCTCAAATCTCCAAATTAAAAACTTATTTAAGTGGTACAAATGATTGGGCATACAAAGATTAAACAGAAAATTATATCCTACTCCCTCCATTCCTTTAAACCCTTCCACTTTTGACTTTTGGCAAAAATAAGGAAAGTGTAATTTTGGTTGACTTTCCAATTTTGCCCTTGATGTGATGAGTAAAAGTAAGATGTGATGGGTAAAAGTAAGATGTGATAGTTTGGTTATTAGGGAAAAAGTTTGATATGATAGGTAGGGTATAAAAAAGTAAGGGTAAAAGTGGTTTTTTAATAGAAAGTGGAAGTGTTTTAGGGAATTCAAAAAAAAAAACAAAAGGGGAAAAGTTTTGTGGAACGGAGGGAGTACAAAGCAGTGTAGAGCGAAGAAAGTATTTTTTTTGTTTAAAACGTAGAAAGCATGACATTTTGTTAGAGGAACGAAAAAGAATATGTAAAAAATTAGAGAGACAGGTGAAATATAAAATTTTAATATAATAATAACATATCACGTAAAATATTAAGATCCTTAAAATTTGAGTTTGTCACCAAAATTGCATAATTGAATTGGTCCTATGTATAATTTGACATTATTAGTATTGTAAATTTTTTAAAGATAGAATAATGAAGATTTTATTTTCTATGTTTTACTCTTATCTCATTTTTCTCCGTATGATAATTTTTGTCATAATTCTCACGTAATTTTTTTATCAAATAACACTATGAGGGTGTTTGAGAGTGATTACTTTATTGATAAAGTGATTTTTACAAAAGCTGAAAGCAAAAACACTTTATACATGCTTTTCCGAAACGGTGTTCCATATACAAAATAATGTTGGTGAAAAGCAGAAGCTGAATGCCAAACAGAGTAAAATCACTTTCACTTAAAGCAGAAGCTAAATTGTTAAAAGCAGCGCACTGCCAAACACCTTCTATAACATTCTATAACAGTATGAACTTGAAACTTTTGCCAATAGTATAGACCACGTACTTTTGAAATTGGTACATGGCAGCATTGGGCCAAAAATGTTTTTCGAGATGGGCTTTTCGCATATGTTGTTGTGTAAAAATAGAGGGTCCAATTTCTTTGGGGCTTGTTTGAGATTTGAAAATTGGATTTCAAAATTATAGAAAAATGTTAGGTGTACACCAAAAGTGTAGAGTACACTAAAAGTGTACCCTAAATATACACTGCTTCCTTCAATGCCACAAATATTGGAAAATAAATTAAACAATAAATAAATAAATAAAAATGAGTGGTAGAAAAATGGATGGTGTACATTTGTATACATATATATTTTAATTGATTATTTGATAAAATAAAATAAACTCAATCAAATCTCGTAAACAGAAACCAGAAGAGTATTTTAGGATGGGGGGAGTTACTTTAATTCAAGAACATTTTAGGACGGAGATAATGCATTTTTTAAATGGAAAAAATTAATTAGGACGGAAGTTGTATTTCTCTAAAGTACACGTTTGGAAATATTAAAAATTTCTTTAATTTCTAACAAAATTCAAATATAAATTTATGTGCCTTTTAAATTCGAAATCAATTAATTAAACTTTTAGAATTAAAATCCATGAATTCAAATAAATTCTTAATTTCCAAACTATGGGCTATCCAATAAATTTGTACTTTTTTCGTTCACTAAAACAGTTCTTATTTTGACTAAAATTAGAAATGATGAGTTATCTTTGCAACTGATTTTTCAATTTTATTCTTGATGCGATGGTAAAAATAAGATGTGATTGATAGATTATTGGTGAAGATGTATAATGTGACAGGTATGATAATAATTAATAGAGGTGAAATTTTTTTTAATAGAAAATCAAAATATTTTGGTGGAAAAAATGAATGAAAAAGTATTTTAATTAAGAGGGGGAGTATTAGTTGAAAATAGCTCACCCAATGGCTTCTTTCTTTCAGAGTACTCTAACTTTGTATCTTAAAATATTAAAAAAAAAAGTGGCGTTATATTCAATTTGTAAAAAAAAATCTCAAACTCTAATGTCGTATATATTCTAGCTGGCTTTTACGCTACCCCAAAGATAAAACATTTTGCTCTGTAAGAGATTGTAAACTGGTGTTCTTTTTAACGAAAATTTGATTTTTTTAAATAAAATTCAAATTTGTATATTTAAAATTATCTTTCTAAAGAAAAATATTTTTAAATTAGTTTTATTTTATAATTCATTTTTAAAAAGTAATACGGAGTAGTTGTCAAAGTTCAAATCATCCAAGTAAAAAAACAAAATTGAAACGATAGGAAAAATATAAAAGTCCAAATTCTTTCCTTTCATAACACCCAATTATTTTAGGGCTGGGCCAGATGGATCTTTTTATCAAATCAAATGGAACAACAAATTTAACAGGCTTGATCATTGAAAGGTCTTCTAGCAGAAGGATAAAGATCTGAGACGTGAAATCTCAAAATTTCAAAATGTGCCCTACTTGTCACAAAATTTTGAAGGAACATGCTACATTTACACTAAAAATTGTACCCTATTTGTACACCGCAATTATACACAAACATTTTTATGGTTTACACCGATATAAATGTTGGTGCGTTAACAAAAATTTACACGGACACAAAATGTTAGTGCGTTAACAAAAATTGGTTTTGCACCTACACAAAATGTTGTTGCAAACCCAGCGGTGTACAAATAGGGTACAAAAGCTTGGGATAGAAATAGCTTTATCCAATTTTGAAACCCTAACTCCAAACGACTTCATTCTCGTCGAGATATATTGAGGGAGGTAAATTAAGACTCGATAATTCGTTAAAAAGAAATGTCTATCTCACAGACATGCAAGTAGCCCAATATGTCCTACTTCTATGTTACTTCGTATAGGCACAAATTGAGGGGTTGTCTGTGTTAGTGTTATTAGTTTATTAGCAATGGGTCCATTAAAAAATATATCCTTCGTCGTAATTTAAGTTGTGTTTTTACTATTTATAGGCTTTAAATTAATAACTTTTATTATCTATTTTCGGTACTTATTTAATAAATAACATAGTCATGTCACACCTTGTTTTAATTTTATAAAATTTTAGATATAGTTTCTAAATGTCATTATTTTGTTTTTAAATTTTGCACCAAGCACATGAAAAATATTTTTAGTCAAATATCGTTAAAAAAACGAGTAATTCAAATTAGGACAAATGGAGTAAAATGCATGACACTCAATCCGGATACCAATTTTTTTAATGATATTCGCCAAAATTGAGATTCTTATGATGTTTCACTTTAAAATGGGCAAACACTTGCGAGAACCTTCATATATACGGAGTACTAGATAAATATTTTCTAACTATCCAAATTAGCATTTTTAGATTTAAAAAAAAAAATGAAATCGCACAAATTAAAAAAAATGTCTAGTGACATTATTTGACTTAATGTCATTCGATTGTACAGTACAAAATGCATTAATCATGTCAATTCAAACATGAAAAATAATTTTGAGACTAAAAGAGTAAAAATAATAACTTAGTACTCCGTAATTTAGTAAATTAGTGAAAAGCAAGAAATAAATGAATAATGTTACAATTTTTTGGGAATTCATTTTTTTTACTTCTTAAAGTGGAAATGAACAAATTTAATAGCCGATGGAATATTTTATTCTATGTAGCAGAGATGCTCATTTGGCAAGGCGTATCACAATATTTGAGATGATCGCGCAAATATTAAAATCTGTGTGTTATTTTATTCCCAAACATACCGAACCGCCATACGTCGGATTTGTACCTAACAACGTTAACACTCCGCATCAAACACACATTGCATCACCTACTTATCTCCGTCCAATTTCCTGTTAATATATCAATTGGCCACCGTCATTTCGTTATCTCACTTCGGATTTGTACCTAACAACGTTTTTAAATTGTTTTATTAATAATTTTGGTATAAAGATACTCCCTCCGTACTGTCTCTCTTGATTTTTCCTATTTTGACCTGCACATTCAACTTTTTAAACTTTGATTACAGATTATAGGAAAAAATTGAGTTGTAATTTAAATTTAATATAAATATAAGTTTATATTGAAATATAGTTTTGAAATGTCATATTTTTATAATATATATCCACACACACACACATATATACTCCCTTCATCCTAAAATTAATTTCCCAGTTTGATTTTTGTAGTCAAACTTTTTAAACTTTGATTGTATATTACGAAAAAAATATATTGAATTTTCATATAAATTTATTAGCAATAGATTAAATTTGAAACATAGTTTTGAAATATATAATTTTTATAAAATACTACCTCCGTCCCATTGTCTTTGTCCACATTTGACTTTTGGAACTGTTCATCTAAGCACTTTGACTCATCAAATTCTCTTAATGTGTAAGCCTAAAAATAGTCATGTGTGATCTTGTTTGATTCGTCTTAACATATAAATTATATATATATATATATATATTTTATAATTTTTAATATACAAATTACAAGATAAAATGGATTAAAGAAATGCATTGGATGATGTGTCAAAAGGTAAGTGGACAAATGCAGTGGGACGGAGGGAGTATATTTATATAGAAATTGAGAAATTGATGGTCAAAGGGTCGCATTAAAGACCGTGAAAAGTCAAATGAGAAATTAATTTTAGGACGGAGGGAGTATAAAGGTATTAATGACCAAAGCATTATATCAGAAACAGTGCAAGT